ACAGGCTGCCCAGGGAAGTGGTGGAGTCCCCATCCCTGGAGGTATTTAAAAGACGAGTAGATGAGGCGCTGAGGGACATGGTATAGTGGGCATGGTGGTGTTGGGTCGACGGTTGGACTCGATGATCTCAGAGGTCTTTTCCAACCTTAATGATTCTACGACTCTATGATTCTATGAACGCCTCCCCGGGCGGTGGGACCTGTGGCCGGGGCCCGGTGGCGGCTCCTCGGTGACGCGGGCCGGGTGCCGTCGCTGCGGTGGCACCTCGGTGACCCTAAAAGCAAGAAGGGGATTTTTGGTTTCAGTTCCTCCGCCCGAAGCTCTCGCCTTCCTGCGGGAAGGGCTGTGCCGGCGCCGGCAGCTGCTCCCCGGGGCTTTCCAGCCTCGATGAACCCCAGCAGAGTAGATAAATAACAATTAAATATAATAATAAATATAGTAATAAATGTAATAACAACCGGGGGACGGTGCTCCCCCACGTAAAGGGGACCCGTCCCCGTGATGGCACGGCCACCCCGCGGTGACAGGACAAGGTGACGGCTCTTGCCCCCGCCCACGCCAGCCGCGAAAACCGAGAGCGTGGTGCAAAAAAATAGGGGGAAAAAATCAGTAAAAAAAAAAAAAAAAAGGGGGATTTCAAAAAAAAAAAAAAAAAAGGGGATTTGAGGCTTGGATCCGGTTCGGGAAGGGACCCGCTGCTTCCTCGCGTCCCCGAGCCTGTCATTAATACAAACGAGGCGAGCAAACGGAGCGTGGAGGGGATGGAGCGGAGCGTTGTGATGGAGGAAGGATCCATCCGTCCTCCTCCTCCCGGCCGGTTTTGGGGGGGTCCTGCTGGACGCCTGAAAATAACGGCAATTATGCAGAAATCCCCCCAAGTCTCCCGTTTTTGACGCAGCTCGCGGATTTGAGCAGCGCAGAGGGGAACCACCGGGGTTTCGGGCTCCGCTTCCCTGTGTCGGCGAGGTCGCCGGGGACGGAGCGTCGGCGCTGCCCGGTCTGGGGTGATTTCTGCAAATTCGGGGTCCGAGATTGGGCCGCGCCCTTTCAGGGAAACCCCGAATCTCCCCAGCCGGGCGCGTGTCAGGGACGAGGGCTCTCCTGTGTCC